GCTTGGCCCATGGTGGGGGGCGGGGCGGGAGCCAATAGGAAGCGCCGGTTCGGCGGGCCAATGGCGACGCGGGGTGCAAAAAAGACCCCCAAAAACCAAGAGAAGGGGGGCAGCCAATCCGGACGCCTCACGGTGTGCCGGAGCCCGCCTCCCCGCTCGGCCAATGGGAGAGGACATCTCTCTGTGTAACCGAGGGGGCACACCCACCTACCCCACTTCGACCAATGAGGTGCCGCCGGCGCGCTCCCGGGCGCCCCGTTAGCTCCTGCCGATGTCAAAGGCTGCCTTGTCACCCCCCCTCCTTCCCTTTTATGAAGCCCCTGAGATCGCGGGTTCGAGCCCCGCCCCGGCCTCCATATCCCATAGTGCCCCAGGCCCTGAGCCAGCTCGTATCCCATAATGCCCTAGATTTCAGTATAGTGCCCTACCTCTCTCTCCTGTCCCATCATGCCATGGGCGTAGCACCATCTCCCTACCCCATAATGCCCTGGGGCCCACACTACCTCATAATACTGCAGGGCCCAAGTCCTCCCATGTCCCACCATGCCTTGCTCACACAGTCAAAGACCAACACCTCTAACTTGGCAATGCTTTACTGCAAGAAGCCACCTGTCACTCCTAGACCAGAGCAGGGTGGTCCTCAGCAAAAGCCTAAGGAATTCACAGGTCTGGGGGAGGGGAAGGGGCATTAGCAGCTGAAAGCCTGTAAAGTACCATAATTTTTGGCATATAATACACAATCCCACACACACAAAGATATGTGGGGGAAATATGGTAATAGCTGCAAACATGCACCTACCTGGACCCCCCCACCAAGCCTGCCCCTGCCCCTGAATCCAACCCCACAGCTCCCTCTTGTTGCCTCACACCCCCCTTAGCACCTCTCCCCTGACAATGGAGGCTCCCCAGGCTGCCCCTGGCCACGCTCCTGGTTACAGCCCTGGCCTTGGGGCTGCACCTGTGTCGATGGGCACCCCCCCAGCCACATGCCTGAGTGTGGAGGCCGTTGGGGGGGGGGCGGGCAGCAGTGGGGCACTTGCTCCTAGCCCCTTCCACCACCTAGGCTGGGCCCATCTCGGCCTGAACTTGGTGGCACTGCAGGGGCTAGGAGCCCCCCTGAAGCGGGGGCTGGGTAGCATCAGGGCAGGGGCCCTGCTAGGAGCACTGGTGCTGCTGACAGGGACTAAGCACATGGCCCTCAATGCCAGCCTGGCCTGGGCCCTGAGGGACCCCCGCTACCGGCAGCACTGTGCTCTCAGCCTCTCTGGTAAGGGCAAGCAGGGAGAGAAACCCAGGCATCCGGGCTGTCAACCCCCTCCCTCCTGCTCCAACCCACCAGGCCGCACTCCCCACTCCCTACCCAGACGTTGGGATCCCATGCTCAGGCCCCTTGGCCTCTATTTCCTTGCCAAAGAACCCAGGCATCCGGGCTGACCTCTGTCCCCTCCCAGGGCTCATGTTCTCCTTGGAAGCCCTAGAGAGTTTCCTGGCGCCCATCCCCATGATCTCACCCAGTGTCACCACCATGACGACCCAGTGGCACGGCCCAATAGCATGCATCATCCTGTACTTCCTGCAACCCAGGTGGATATGGGGGGAGAAGAGAGGGCAGGGCATAGTGGGTGAGCATGACCTCTCCTCTCCCTTGCAGGAGCTCCTGAAGCAGCCACATGGCAGGGATGCTGGTGGGTGGGGCCCTAGCAGCCACACCCCTCTTGACCATGCCCCCATGAGGAAGCTCTGCCTTCGGCAAGGACTCTGCTTGCCCGCCCAGAGACATGGAGGACCAGTTACGTACCACACGGTAGACACCTGGGTTGTCTGTGAGGGTTGGAGCCCAGAGATCTAGGTCCATCATGGCTCATGGACCGGGGAATGAACAGGGGCCTGGGCTCCCTGTACTGGTGTTTACTTCCTCCCTACCCCACCCCTCTCTGTCTCCACAGGAGCCAAACTCCATTCCTCCTTTGTCCAATCACAGCCATCACCTGTGAATAAAAGCACACAGGTGTACCCTCCCCCAGCCACATGTGCATGTGGGCACACATCATCCTAAACACATGCATGAGGCCACACCCACAGCTGGGGTGAGGAGGAGGGCACAAGAGCAATGGGGGGCTCATACAGGCGCACACACTGCATTTCGTGTTAATTGGAGGCAAGGCTGAGTCCAGGTCCCTCCCACCCATCTCCCAGCCCCACAGACCACGCATGGCACCAGCCCAAAGTCCAATAGAGGCTTTATACCAAGCAGCAAGTGCGAGGGGGGGTGGGGTTTAAGAGCTGAGATGGGGGGGCACCCGGACTCCTGGGTTCTCTCCTGGCTCTGGGAGGGGAGGAAGGCCAGGAGCCAGGACACCTGGGTTCTTCCACCACACACCTCACACTCAGGCCTTACACTCAGGCTGGTCAGGACAAGGATGGGGCTGGGCTGGGCTGGGGTTTTAAGCCCCGCCCCCAACCAGACTACAAGTCCCAGCCTGCACTGAGGCAGCCATTTCTTCCCTCTTAAAGGGCCAGCGTGCCCCTGCTTTCCCTGCATGCCTTGCTTCTGACAGCTGACTTCAAACTCCAAGTCCCAGGATGCTTTGAGAGTATTTAAAGGGCCGGGCGCGGGCCCCCCCCCCCCCCAGCCATCACGTGCTCAAGAGGCGCCCTCTACTGGCTGGGGGCAGGGGTGGTTATAAGAAGGGGTTGGTGGCCGGATGCTTGACCACGAAGTGCGTTGTTGCAGGAGCTGTTGTCTGCGGAGAGAGAACTGTGTGGTTATGGGGGCAGAGCCATTCAAACCCAAGGGTCCACCCCCTCCTCCTGATAGGCAGGTGGATGAGGGCAGGGTCACACTCACCAGGAAGGGATTGGTGGAGACACTGACAGGCTGCCCCACTTTGGTAGCACCCAACCCGAAGCTGGAGCCTGTGGAGAGGAGAGGAGAGGAGAGATCAGCCACTGAGAAAAAAAATCCAGGTGTCCGAGGGCTCCCACCCCCACTGCTCTAACCCCCATGGTCCTTGAGGGCTGGGAGAGAACACCTACTGGGACTGCAAAGCATGCTAGAAGGAAGGGGAGCATGTGGGAGAGAGCCCTTTTTTTGCCCCCAGCGTGCACTGCTTCCCAATACCCCCCATTCCAGAATGCCTTACTGCTCACCATTTGGCTGCGGGCCCAGTGGCGCTGGCTGGGAGAAAATGGAAGCCTGGAAGGGTGTGGGGAAGGCGCCGGGGGCAGGCGAGGCCTGGGGGGTCACGAACCCACTTGGGGACCCCACTGAGAAGGCAACACCTGCAAAACAAGTTGGGAAGGGGGGTGAGTCTAAGGGAGGCTCCTATGTCTCCTCCACTTTGTCACGTCAGGGACAGGGGATGAATTCAGCACCTGGCTCCACCTCCCAGCTCAGGGGGTAGAGCCTAGGCAGGGGTAAGGCCTGCATAGGGAGATGGGGCTTACCCTAGGGGAGGATCCTAAATCTACCCCACTTCACTATGTCTGGGGGGATGGAATTCAGCACCTAGCTCCCCCTTCCCAGCTTAGAGGCTGTGGCCTAGGAAGGGGGTGGAGCCTAGGATAGGGATGGAGTTTACCTGGTGTCAAGCCATTAGCTTGGAAGGGATTGGTTGAGGGCCGGGCAGGCGGTGGAGAAGCGAAGGGATTGGTGAAGGCTGTAACAGACAGTGGGGAGATTAGAGGGGAGCAGTGATACCCCAGGCAAGGAAGGAGAGAGGGGAGCAATTATGGGGCTTACTTACCCCCATAGGCAGGAGCCGGGCTGGGCTGGCTCAGGGGCTGGAAGATGCTGGGGGGAAAGAGCCAGACAGACATGGGGGTGAGAAGGGATTATTTATACCCCTCAAACTCCCTTGCCCCAGAATGCACTGGGGGTTAATTACAGTAATGAGATGCAACCCCACCCCCAAAAGCCAGGAAGGAATCCCCTGCAATACCTGCCAGGGGCTCCGCTCAGGTCCAGGATCTGGGCTGGCTGGCTGGGGGGTGAGGTGCCAAAGGCACTCGGGGAGACGCCCCCTACTGGCGGAGGAGGGGGAAGAGAGATCCATCAGCTGAGCATGAGGCCCTCTACCCCACCTAGTTTTGGGGAGGGTCCTACCTTAATTCCCAGCCTGGAGAAAAACTGCTTGTTTCTTTTTGCAGCAGACTGCATGCAGAAGAGAACCCAGGTGTCTGGGGTCTCAGCACCCCCCCACCCTGATCTAACCCGCCAGACCCCCAACTCCCTCCATAACTAGGGAGGACCCAGGCATCCAAGACCCCAGCCCCCCAACTCCCCCCATAACTAGAGAGGACCCAGGTGCCTGTCCCTGCTCCAAACCCATATGGACTCCACTCCCCTCCCAGATGAGGAGAGAACCCAGGCATTAGGCCCTACCCCAGCCCAGGAGCACCCTCTTACCTGTGGGCAGGGGCTGGGGGGAGAAGGGGGCCAAGGCCCCCCCAAACCCGGCTCCGAAGGCATCAAAATTGGCGAAGGCAGCATGGGCTGAAGCCTGGGC